TCCCCCTCTGCTGGGACATCTCAGCCTTCGTTTTACGCGCCAACTCGACGAGCCAATCCACTCGAAGCTTTTGACAGTAGGCGGCGTATCGTGCTCTTAGGTATGGTCTTACCGCTCGACGGATGGCGCTAATATTGTTTCTGTACATATCTTGAGCCGCCTCTAATTTTTCGTCTAGGCTGCTGCCTTTCGTAGCAACAGTGGGTGTGCTATTCATTATTCGTCCATCGAGCAGTATCCGGGATGCGAAGAATGCAGGCTCCAGCGACTCGGCACTGGCAGTCAACTGTTCCCAATGCCAGCTCTCGTAGTTTAGGTATTCCACCAAGGTGGTCCAACTATCCTGTTGGCGTGGATCTTTCTTCAATCGCAATGCTCGCTTGAATTGGTACGGCCTGATTCGCTTCTGCACCGCGTATCTGTAGGCGGAGAAGGTTTGCTTCTCAGCAGGCATTTGTCGCCAAGCACTCAACCTTTGCCACATCCGCCGCAAGGTCTCCTCGAACGAATCGTCGGATACAAACCCCGTTGCACCTCTCCCCTCATATATGCGCGCGTTTGCGGCTAGGTACGCAGCCAACGCCTCGTTGCCACTGTCCCCCTCGTCGTTGCCGTCTGCTCGGTTCCTCCACTGTGATTTGCGAAAATCCCACCACCGCTCGAGTTGGTTTGAAAAGAGGGTCGTTAACTCCCTTTTTCCAGTCTCCGTATCTGGCTCATCGCTCAGCCAGGCAAGGATCGCATTGCAGCTAATCTTGGGCTGAGCGCAGATATCCAGCAGCTCCTCCGCTGTGCAGACGGGGTGGCCATCATCTTCAATCAGCTCCTGACGGCACAAGTCTTCGCGGGGTTGGGTGCCAGGCGGCGACGAAGTAAGAGTCGACTCAGCCGGCGATCGTGGGGGTCTATCGAACAGAAAGCTGCTTGAATTACCAGCCACGTCTGTTAGGAGCGCAGCAAGCTGGTTGGGGTCGACCAGTTTGGGGCCGCTGCTGTCGCTGTGCAGGTTTTGTAACGCGCGATATCTCTGGGACAAGTGGGCTCGCTGCTCCGGTGATAGTTCCAGCACACCGGAGAGGCTTGAGAAGTCATGTGTCGCGAAAAACAGGTCGAGCTCTCGGTCGTCGTATGTGAGGAGGTCGGCGGCTTTCACAGCGTGGTTCTGCTCCTCAGATTGGGCGAACGACATTTGGAAGATTGCGCAAGCCTTCTAGGCGAGTCAATATGAGGGCGAGAAAACTTGCGGTATGTTGCAAGATTTGCAACATCAGGGAATGTGCTGGTGCGGAGCCCGCCTCTTTAATAACAAACGCGCCTTCCCCTGTTGAGGACCCATATTTTTTGTCTTTGTCCAATCGTGACTTGTAGAACCTCCTACATGTTGATTAGGTATTATTCTCGCTTTGTTTGGGTTGTGATTTTCTCTTGCCCCCTTGATTGGTCACTCATCTCCCAGTTGAGTGGTACAGTTTTAGTTACATGTCACATCTGTGACGGGGAAGGCGCTGAAGGAGACGCCACGGTCGCGATACCTGGGCAACATGGTCAGTGCATGAAAAATGTCGAAAAGGTCGAAAAGGTCGAAAAATGTCGAAAAATATCGAAAAATGTCAATGGTGATAATTGAAGTCTACCTGCCGCCTTCTCAAGCATTGACCTGTGCAGTTTTCGCTGTGTTTAATGAGCGCTCCGTTCACGTCTGGTCCTCACGCCTGACTAGGATCCCTAGATGGTCAGGGGTATAGGAAATACTCGTGTTCGGGATACGTTGTTATTGGTGCCATTATTGTTCGTGACCCTAACAAGCCCACCGTGACAGCCGGGCTTTCGTCTTCTTTGACCACGACCTGCAACAGGTTCTTGGTAGTTTTACCCCAGATTTCGCAAGATCCTCATAGCGGGATAATGGCGCTATTTATCAACGGCCCCGGACTTGCCTTTGCCCTACGCGTCTCCGGTCTGAGTAGTTGCGCCGCCCGCCCGCGGTAGCGTCTATGTAGTGGGGGGAAGGGGGGCCGGGCAACTGATCAAAAAGTTAATTCAGGGGTGACAGGAACAGATTTGAAAGCCGAGGGCCGTCCGCGGCATGCTTTATTTATGAACCTTGCATTATCCTGTTACAAAAGGAAGAAGAAACATAACTACAGGGAAATTGACATACGCAGAACAACATCGCTATTCTGCCAGACGTCGAGCCATCAAAGCCTTTTTTCCTTACCTTTTCAAAGCTACCTTCAAGCTTCAACTCGCTCCTCTTGCCTCGGCATCTCTGCCCCCCTCAACACACAACAACCAACTCACACCAACAAGCCCAGCATGCCCGCCACCGCACCCGTCACCATCACCGAGTACGTGTGGCCGCGCGCCGTGCCCGAGTGGCTCGGCGGCGGCGGCACTCTCGCGCTCTACGCCGTGGGCATCGCCTCGCGTTGGGCGGTGCCGGGCAGCTCGCTGCATGCGCTGCTCGAGCGCTCGTTTCCCGGCGGGGCCGACACGTTTGTCTGGATCGCGCACAATGTTGTCTTTTGGCTCGCGGCGGCGCACGCCGTCGAGGTGCTGCTGTTTGACAGCCTGCGTCTGCGCCGGCATGGCGTGCCCCGCTGGTCGGCGCTCTGGTGGAAGTGGGAGCTGAGCGTCTTCATCGAGGGCATCGGCGCGTGGGGTCGCATCGGCAAGGTCATTCAGGAGAAGCAGGCGCTGCTCAAGTCGAAATAAGATGGGGAGACATGTTTGAATGGATAGTGTTATACATACATGGATAGAAACAAATGCTTCCAGTTTTCCTCTGTCTGCTGCAAAACCAATAATTTGAACTGTACTTGGTGGGTCCCGATTCTGGTGGGGACATGTTTGCTACAAGCTGTCGGCGTTGCCATGGTGAATCATGTCGGTGTTGGCCATGGCTCCGCGCGGCCATGGATGGAGAAACTTGCGACTCGGTCCTGTCATGGTTGATGCGGTTGATGGTGTTGATGCTGGTCAAGTTGCCTTGACACATTTTATTTATTAACGGTTACCTAGACCTAGTAGGCAGCTACCGCCGTAGTATGTGTGTACCACGCCCCACACACGTCACCAACTTAGAACCCTGTCAGCTGTCAGCGGCCCCCTCTGTGCTCTGTGCCTGTTTGTCTTCCCGGTCGAGCCCAAACTTGCGTCACAAATATCGTTTTTCTTTGTCTCATCCCTACATTTATTTGCCGTGAAAGGGCAAGACAAGACGAAGAAGAAAAGCAATGTCCCTGCCCGTCAGACAGCGCCCTGCAGGCCCCGTTGCGCCTTGGCACGAACAAACGCTGGTTGACTCGACCAACCCTTTGCTTGGCAGCCTGGAAACGCTTCCATCACTCTTTGCCTAGTTACCTATAGGACCACATACTATAGCCACCATCTGAATACGACTCAATCAATTTCTTGTCAACGTTGCGCTCGAGCCAATCCAATCCTGCAGCCACGCACGGTTCTCTCAAAGGACCTAGAGTTGCCTGCTGTCAGCCCGCCCCCCCCCCCGGCATGTCTTTCCCAGCCTCGCGGATAATATGCACGAAATTGAATCCACCCATCCCCCAGCCATTTTCCCCAAGCTTTATCTTTTCATGCGCAACCACCCTCTATTTACGTTTTCCCTTTTTTTTTTTCCTTGCATGATCATTCCAGTGCGCGCACATTAGACGTCACCTTTTTGGTGCATCGCATACATCCCAGTCGCAAGCCGCATTTCTGGCCTTTTGGGAGACTACGCCACCTCAACCTGCGGCCCGCGCCGTTTGGACCCCTTCCCCTCCACACCAAGTTGGTTGGTCGCAAAACATTCTCAATCAGCGTTCTATCGTCATCCTCTCCTCGTCGTCGCCTCGTTTGGCAGAATCGGTCACCCAATATGATTTTCGCACTGGTCTTCGTCTGCACGCGTATATCGCAAATCACCACCCTCGTACGTCTATCCTCCTTCCATCCCGGCGCATCCATTCACCTCCCGTCGCGGGGTCTAAGCCCGCTGAATGCGCCGGCACCCCCCCCCCAAAGAGCCCGCCTCCGCTAACACCCTCCCGCCCTTGCAGATCATCATGATGGGAATGCTCTCCTGGTTCGTCGACAAGTTTGTCGGCGCCAACGTCCTCGCCCCGACCGCGATCCTCATCCTCTTCATCGTCTCCGTCCTCGCCCTCGCCTGGGCCCTCTTCACCCTCTTCAGTTACCACCGCTCCTCGGCCAACGCCTTCTTCGTCGCCATCATCGACATTGCCATTGTCGGCGCCCTCATCGCCGGCATCTACCACCTGAGCAACATCCGCTTCGCCTCGTGCTCCTCCAACCCGGCCCCGAGCAGCCTCTGGACCAACGAGCTCGGCGGCAACTTTCGCGCCCTCTCCTGGAGCCCCGAGGGCCCCTGCCACATGCTCAAGGCCATCTGGGCCTTTGCCATCATGAACGCCATCTTCTTCGCCTGGACTGCGTTTGCCGCCTTTATGCACGGCGACCACTTTAGTGCCGAGGATGAACGCCGCGACAAGAAGCGCCGGCACTCGAGTCGCCACAGCCAGCGCCGCCGCAGCCGCTCCCGCTCCAACGGCTCATATAGTCATCATAGCCACCACTCGCATCGGGTATACGTCTAAGCACGTTTTTTTCTTATTGTGATGATGCTACGTATATTCTGTCGGTCAGCAGGGCAACAAGCAGGGCAAGTCACGGCGTTTGCCATACGGAAACCTGCGTCGTGCCACTGCTGAAAGCACGTCTTGGGAGAAGTCGAGCACCAGGAGTCAGGGTCGGATCGTTTGTATTTGGTTAGAATTTGGGTATTTTTCCTTTGTCTTACGCCTGTCTACAGCTATCTTGGACATGTACGATTCCCACGCCACGCAAATATCACGTCTTATGTGTACATGCGCTATAGCTACTATGTAAATCAAATTTCCTTGCCACTTTGACGAGCGACTCAGCGAGCAGCCTGACCGTGAAGTGAGAGCCTTTTAAGTCCGTCACAAAAGAAGGGATCCTTTTCCGTTTTAAATAGGAGCTCTTGGCCAGGATATGAATAGCGTTATCCATCGTGGTACCCTAGACTACCCAGTGTCAAGATTTTGTCGTCGAGGGAAAAAGATGTCAAGCACTGCGCCATGGGACTTTGGCGATGAGTCGAAAGCCATTTGTGCGAGCTTTGGATAAAATGCGGTGTCTTGAAGAGATAAGTTGCTTGCGATACTCATTGAAGATTGAAGATTGAGGCTTGACTGAACATATTTACAAAAAGAATCCGCATGTTGACGAAAAGGCAAGACAATAATTTCCTCGACAATGATCTCCTCGCTGCGCTTGAATAATCTCACGTGCCACCAAGTTCAAGTCATGTATTAGTCCTGATTTCCGCCTTCACGCCGCAGCAGAGCATGCGCTGGTTGGCCATCGTGGTCCATCGCCAAGCCGATGCCGCGCCAGCCTCCCGAAGCACGCGCCGCCTTGGCTTGCCCGCCGAGACTTGGGCGGTGCGGGTGCTTGCCATCATAAAATGATAAAAAATCGCAAAATTTGGGCAGCACTTGCCTGAGCTTCATCGCGGCTACACCACCGGCTGGCGACATCGGCGGCGGCAACCGTCTCAGACAATTATTTCTCTCGCTAAATAGTGCTACCATTGGTAATACTCGGTCAAAACTCTTATTACTTACGGAACTCTGGGTCCGATACAGTACGTCGTTACGTTTCCTCTTTCTCGTCTGGGCTATGCCATTTTTGCCTTTCTGCTGTTCATTTCTGCTGTTTGGTGTGGTTGAGGCAGCACTCTCTCGCGGATGACTCAGGCTGATCTGTTCTAGAATCGGGTAGATGGGAACTCGAGGAAAGCAGGGAATATCTTGTCGCCTCGGACCCAGCAGCAACAGCCTACTCATACCGCCTACTCATACCGGAGCATTGTCCGGAAAATGGTCCTCTGCCGATGATGCAACACCAGACCAATTATCACGAGCCGCCGAGGCAAGCGGTTATTGTACACACGTATACTCATCATGCTCGGCCATAAAACCAAATAATATGACAAACTTTTCTATCAACTTTTTTGCCAAGCATAGCGTTCCACTGGCGATGGGGCCTATATCCCCTCGAGGGGCCTTGTTCAATCTTATCAGATCCATCAGTAAATGGATCTCCTCCGTATCCCCTGCCCTGCGCGAATCTCGCCAGAGCAAAAACTTTTCGTGCTCCACCAAGATCCACACATCGGAGCTCCGATCGAGGCTTGAACCCCAAAGTTAGTTTACTTCAACAAGTAACTTGTCCGCACGAGCATCATTCCCTGATCATTCCCTGATCAGTATCCTCTGCGGCTGAAAAGGCCGATCTTTCGTTAGACTGTGAAGGGTCATATCTATTTCCTATTCTCCTCTAACACGATTTTTAGTTTTCATTAATAACAGCCATGCTATACTTGTAGCCTGAGAACTGGTGGGGGACGGGCGAAACACGCCATTCATATAGTTCACAACACCCATTTTCTGGTCTTACCTTCTGCTATTTTCTAGACGATTAATTCCTTCCCAAAGAAAGGAAAAACTGCTCTGTTTCCCTGGCATCGCATGGTCACCATCATTATCATCATAGAATACATTGCCACACTTTATTCACCTCCTCTGGCTGTGCCTTGCTTCAGCCTGTGCACAGTGGGACGACAACACCGAACAAACAAGGGTATATGCTTGTCGGGGCTCCCACAGGATGCGACGGCGAGCTTATCTGATGGTGACATGGACTTGCACATATGCGATGCATGTACATTTAGCCGAAGCTAAAATGTGAAACTTGACGATCACATTCCCCCCTCCCCCCTCGTCAAAATGCAGCGTTCCGTTTATGCAGCTTGCCTTGCCCGACACAGCTGATGAATGGCAACGGAGTTGGGAAATTTGACTGGATGCCGGTGACGACCACGTCCTATTGTACTTCCTCGGTATGAGACACTGCTGTCCATATTAGGTCTGACGGCCTTGTTCGAACCAGCTAAGCTAGTGTCGCGTGCTCATGCAGATGTAGCCCGCTTCCATTACTAGTGACACCCTACACAGTACTCCGTACACCCCCGGCATTTGTGCTTACCATGACGAGCCTACATTTAGCATCCCATATCCAAGTCTATTCTGTAGTTTCTTCTCATGATGTCTAATAGCTCAGGCTACGTTTAAAATACATATCCCAAAATTCAGAACAACACCATGGAGCAACAACCACACATTGAGCACCGGCTTACACCCACAATGCCCGGACCCATCACCACACCACTCACCACCATCTTGAACTGCCAGCACCCGATCATGCTGGCCGGCATGGCCGAGGTCTCCGGGGGCCGTCTCGCCGCGGCCGTCGCCAACGCCGGGGGCTTCAGCGTCGTCGGGGGCTACCAGTGCACGCCGGAGCAGCTGCGGCGCGCCATCAGCGACATGAAGCAGCACTTTGCGCGGCCGGACCTGCCGTTCGGCGTAGCCCTCGCGATCCCGCAGTGCGGCGGGCGCGCGCGCAAGACCAACCGGGACGCCAGCGGCGGCAAGCTCGACGAGCTCGTCGGCATGGCGATCCGCAGCGGCGCCCGGCTGTTTGTGAGCACGGCCGGCGTGCCGCCGCGGCCCGTCATCGACCGCCTGCACGCCGCCGGCGTGCTCGTCATGAACCTCGTCGGCCACCCCAAGCACGCCGTCCGCGCGCTCGACGCCGGCGTCGACATGCTCTGCGCGCAGGGCGCCGAGGG